TATTCTGGAAGCTGCAAGAAAAATAAATATATTTATTGTATAAAAAGATCAGTTTAAATATTGAATTGTTTTAACTAAATTATGAAATAGATTTCAGATGGTAACAATATTCAATTCAATTAAAATCAAAGATACATTTTATTGACCATTTATTAAAGTATAGTATATGAAAACGCAACAAAAAGAATAGCATGAAGCATACTAAATTCCATTGTTTCAATTACCATGAATATATCACCGTAAATGGAAGAAAGAGAATATAGTAGAAAGATATTTTGTTAGTGGAAAGATAGCAACACAATAATACTTAGGCCTATGATAAACCGATTCACGAACTAAAATATATAGGGCCTAGGCATATTAAATTTTTCGTTTTCGCAACTCCTTCGGCGCACCATATATTTGTTCGAAATAAACCGCGACCGAAACGAAGCGCGACCGAAATGATCGGCTACCTTAGACATTTGGTCCATCCAAACCAAGGGGCTGGCTAGAGCCTTGATCAGGATCCAGGAATAAAAATGCCTGGTAGGGTTTACGAGTTTTTATTGCTTAGTATGGCCAAAATTGTGCTTTTACTTTCAGAGAACAATATTATGATTGGCAATCAAAATAACACTATTTGGACAGACAAATTATTATTTTTGGTCCGACGACAAAAGAGAGGCGTTCACGTTTATTCGACTAGTGAAATGCCCTCCCTGACCACGCTGGCGCCAAAATATAGAATCTGTCAAATTTTGCAGAAATTTAGGCCGTGCCCTATGTCCCAATACACAACCAGGTGCACATGGGGGACACACCAAACACTCAAAGCAAAAAAAGAAAAAAACAGAAAGAAAAGAAAAAAGAGGATAGCACGGACTTTACATCATTGATCTAAATTCCATTTACTAGCATTAGCAGGCCTATCCCCTAGGCCTACTACACTACTACTACTACACTGTATGTCTAACTGTAACTGTACTTCTACTATATAGTACTACCACCTACCAGTATTAGTAGTTGGTCTATCTAGCCTAGGCCTAGCACACCTAGCAGCCTAGCCTAGGCCTCTTCCTCGTTGTCTAAATAAAAGTAACTAAGGCCTAGGCTAGGCCTACCAAGGCCAGACTGAGGGCAACGAGGTACTACACCTGGACTAGATTTTATTTGCCTGATTAGTTTGTTTATATATGGATACTGTTGTATTTGTGTTCGTCATTATATAGAAACAAAAGTTATACACTAACAAAATTAGTACAGCTACAGAGCCACACAAAACATCCAGCCGCACAGCAGCAGAGAACACAACAGATAGAGATTGGACCATTGGACGCACCGCTCTCTATCGGTCGATGTACTTAAGTTGTTTAGCCTCATTGCACCATACACGTTTCGTGAAGTCATTAAATTCTGAAATTAAAATCTGGCTCTCCCAAAACATGCTTTAAATTGAATCCCTCAAAACTGAATTCATTGCCTTTCTTTCTCAATGATTCATAATTGTGAATAAATTATTGAACCAGTAATTTGGAAATTAGCCATCATCTACAGCAGATATCATTATATCAAATCAACCGACACCTTGTTCATGTTTTTATTTCCTCAAAATGTGATTATTGGTTTTTCCCAGCAGTAACTATAAAATCCATTGTTTTTTCTGCCCTTTTAATACTTTGGTCACTTTCCATGCTTGGATCTTTTCCAAACTTTGTCCAAGCATAGACCATCAAGGATGTGCTTCCTAAAATTTAGTGACAATTCGGAGTGGGCTGTGGATGTGAAGACAATTTAAAGGGAAACACCCTGCACAGGTATTTCAAAAAGGAACCCACTGATCTGAATGAAACTTTTGGAAATGTTTAACAAAGTTAGGAAAGAAATTACAAAATTTTGTGTGTGAATTTGAAGGTCATTTAAATTTCTAACGTCCCAGATCTAAATGAAACATTCCAGAATAGTTTGTCATCGGGTCCAAAGATAAAATGATTGAATTTTGGATCCGGAGTAGGGTGTGGATATGAGGACCATTCAAAGAAAAACGTCCAGACCGTCGACCAGATACACCATGGAACTGATCAACTGATCTAAATGAAACTTTCTTGAAAGTTTAATTCACAAGAATTATTAAATTTTGGTGATGATCAGATTCGGGTATGAATTTTTGTCATTTAAAGTGCTAAACGTCCCAGACCTAAAGATCTTTAAAAAATGTATCGATGTATCTAAATCAAACTTAAAATTAATAAATAATTTGTCATAGTCCAATGAAAAAAAGGTTTAAATTGTGGTGACGATCCTAAGTAGGGTGTAAATATGAGGACATTTGAAGAATATTTTTAAACCGGTAATTAAACTATATAAACGCCTTGCGTTTTCTGTTTCAGCTATGTTAAACGCAAAATTAGACCTACCTTGAAATGCATGAACACTTTTTGCTTTCAATCATTGGATTATCATGATATTATAACAACTCCCTGATATTACAATATATTACTCAAGGTAGATAAAGTGATAAAGTAGATAATGTTTGCTCACCTAATAAAAAATCTTTTCATTATCTTCCATAGCCAAAATTTTCCGGTTTACGACCTTGTTGAAATGGTGGTGCAGTAGACTTGTTTGTTTATATTGTCGGCGTAAATATGGAGAAATGTATTAAAACAAAAAACGATCCTGTTGCATTATAAATTTTTATATTATGGTAATTAGGAATATATCAAATTGTTTAATAGGGCCTATTTATGTTTTGTGTATACCATTGTATTATGTTTTTTGAATCACTTTCAAGTGTGACGAGACACTCATTATAACTTCGCTTTCAGAGTTATTTTGTTATTCCAAGGCAATTAAACATAAGGACGCACATCTCGGAATATCAAAGGTTATAACTCTGGCATCGACATTCTAGGCGCACGTGCGTCCCTACACGCTGAACGTCACAAAAACCATAGCAACCAGACCATAAACCGTCAGCGTACGTGACGAATTACCTAGGCGCGTGTTAGTTGCCATGATAATCGCGCGTCGTGCGGTGATTACAAAGGCCTAATGATATTTTGCAATACATTAGACTGAAATATATTCTTCATTTCAACATTAATTTTACCAAAATTGTGGTGAATTGTCGTTCATGAGACTCACTTCGCGTAAACTAATTGTTGATATTTTAAAAAGTATAATAATGACTGATAATTGATTTATTTGAAATAGGCCTACTATTCTACTCTCTTCAAAAAAATGTTGGAAATCACGTAAATTCAGGATTTGGTGCCGAATTACTGTATAATGCCTGTATAATGCCTTGTCTTCTGGTGAATAGCATGGACGGGGGTGACAGGCGACACGTACCCCAACTATTTTAAGGGGGTGGTCCCCATCACGTTCCTAAGGAAGTCAAGAATATTCCTGGAAATTGTAGAATTGAATTGCATAAATGACCAGATTTTAACGAAAGACCACTTTACAGGCAGATAACATCGTATTTTATAACAAGATTCCGGTCGGTGTTTTCTGTCCACAAACATCTGAATTAACTGTAATACACGACTCGGTCTAATTAGTTGAACATTACACGCATTACATGCGTGCCTTTATTATACAAGTATGATAAAAAGTGTGTAAAGATAAATTGGTTTCCGGCTCATGAAGTAGGTAAAGTAGATAAATCGAAGACAATTATGTTGTTATATTTCTATCGCAGCGATTCATATTAGATACAAGATAGGTTTATTGTCAAATTAAAATATGAAATTAGTTTTTCTCATGGCAACAAAAGTACATAAATTACAACAAAGAAACATACGATCAATGATAATTAATTTTACGTCATATCGTCGCTCACATCACGAACTAACACAATCAAAGTAGATTGTGTTAGTTCGTGAAATCACGTATTGGTTGTCAAGCAATTTTGTATTCTTTACCACACAAAAAGTCCTTAACGTCAGTAGCGCGTATTTTGACGCGCTTTTTGAACTAACACAATTGAATATGTACAGTATTAATTAGATCTTTAATCGTTAATAAGAGATCATGAGAAATTTGTTGACGCTTTATTTTGCCTGGTGATGTGATGATGATGAATTTTACTACTGTATATAAAAGTGTCTTGCCATCTAGGTACTATTTTATATTTCTTTTTTACCTCAGTTCCAACCACGTACGGCTGAAGTAGAGCTAAGTAAATGTATGATTACTGCACCTGTAGACAAAATTTGAATATATTATTTTTTTCTCAATATTTTTTGAAATTTTAAAAAGGCCCCCACCCCCTAAATTGGCTACTGCTATCGATCGAATATCTGGAGAAAGAAATCTTGTTTGTTTTTACTCAGTGTACAGCTGTACAACTCAAAGGCGAAAGCACTTTTTGGCGAAAAATATATAATGTCTGGAGATTTTTGTATGGCTGCTGAGAAAGTTTACCTTACCGTTTTCATGAGGGGGAAAACCTTGAATTTTGAAGAACAAAGTCATAGTTGGGTTATTCAGACGGTGAAGTTTTATGAACTCATACATGAAACATGAGCCAACTGCTAACATTTACTCTATGCTGCATGACGTATGTGAGCAGAGATACCGGTATCTCTAAAATATGTGGGGACGTGTCAGTCAGTCAGACAGGCTACTATAATGATTATTAAAAACTTCATCAGTTTATAGTGGAATCGAATCGTATGGAATCAAATTTAATTCATCAACAATGCTTACGGTTCCATGGTAACAATTTGTGGATGAACCAGAAGGTCATTATATTCTTTTGAGTACTTGACAAGCAGATACACATGTAATGTTGTAATGCGTGTAATGTTTAACTAATTAGACCGATCAATACAATTGGATTGGAGTTTTACTGTATTTTGACATAAAATTCATAGCACATCTTGTGGAGTGGGATACATCATCACCAATGGCGGCGATGGTCATTCTTATTTTGTGTTTCTTGATCAACGGAGCAGAAAGTTGTAAGTTTTATGTTAATTTTTTTTCCTATAATTTATTATTTACCGTTATTATTATTATATCCGCCAAGAGATATATTTTTCAGTCGTGTAAGTTTGTGTGTGTATCACATGTATGTGTGTGTCACGTTTTGGTGTTTTCGTATGGCGGGTTGAACAAGCGTAATTGATGGAGGACAAACCCAGGGATTTTCATAGTATGTCACCGTAGTATACGGTACTCTATTATTATAGTCATCCTGTCCGTTAAGAATTGAAATGCACTATCCTATTTTTTTTGTTACCCTTCTTAACAACCTCTTTTATATGGTTATGGTCTAACCTGTTTCTAGACATGGTATACCTTAAATATTTGTATCTCTCGACTTCAGATATATTCTCATTACCAAGCTGCCATATTCTTTGCTTATTTACTTTCTTACTAGTTATTAACACATTAGATTTTTCGTGATTAAATTTCAATTTAAATGTCGTACTGAATTCGTTAGCTATATCATAGAAAAAATATGGCTCTATCTATGGCTATATCTAGCATTTTCTGTAACTCATTTCTATCATTGACTACAAGAACAACATCATCCGCAGAGAACAGATATCCCATTTGTACATTATTGATCCGCACACCAACCTTGTGTTTTACTAGTAGTTTAGTTAACTCGTTAATATAAATTGAGAATAAAATTGGTGACAGGACGCATCCTTGTTTTACGCCTTCATCTACATCAAAAAAATCTGTTTCGATTAGAAGTAACTTGTACGTCTCTCCATACTGTGTCAAAAGCTTTGCGGAAATCCAGGAAGGCCATGTAGGCCTATTCGCGACAATACTCTTAATTGTGAAGATAGAATCCTCACAACATCGGTTTTTCCCACACTGGCATTATTATCTTATCACTTGTATAAGGACGAATTCTAATACCACACAACGGCGGCGGAACGTTTTTGAAGGGGGGGGGGGGATTTCATGAGGTCCAATATACGAGCGAAGCGAGCATCTAGGCTGGGGGCCAGGGGCCGTCTAGAGCCCCGGTGGGGGTCTATGGATAAATTCGTGATTATGGCACCTCTAGATTGCGGGAAATTTCACCCTTAAACTTAAATTTGAATATAATTTTCCTTATATCTCCATTAAAAAAAATATTGAACAATTTATCCCCCGCCCTTGAATGCGTCACAAATTTCAGAACAAAGTCGAAGTCGAGATTGCTTCCACGATCTCAATGAAGTATTTATCATGAGGGTTATCCTTGATATGGGTTCCCCGAC